TGGGATTGAGTAACTGCTTGAGCTTTTTGATTTGGTAACTGACCATCAGGATGACTGACCCTAGCTCATTATATAGTAGATGTGGTTTAACATTCCAGAAACATTGGTTCAACTATTAAACTAGAGGTTCTTTACAGGATTTGGACATTTGCGCATAAGTTCTTTACAATATTCTGACAACTGCATGTAAGCTTAATTAACAGATTGGAAAAAAAAAAATTTACAACAAAAGATTTTGTCTGAAATATTTAACATCATAATTAAAATTGGAAGAGTTGGATTTGGATAAATGATTCATCATTTTGGATATCGAAATATTTATTTTGTTGATTTTATGTAATTAATCATTTATCTGAGTGAAATATTCGAAATTCTAACTAAAACAATTCATAACATTTTTTCAGCTTCGCCGACAGTATCACCTTTAGTTCTTTTATATTATCGACACCTTAGAAGAATAACATAAGCAGCAGCTAGTATCGGACATAAGTTCTTTTTGAATAAATTTTGGTTTTTCCACTAATGGAAGATGGGTTTAATGCAGTAATAGCAATCAAATTAAACCCCCTTATTGAAGAATCGATATGTCCTCTTGCATTTTTTTTTTACTTTTTTATTTGAATCCTTAAGAGGGATATTTATTTAAAGTAATTAGTATCGAAAAGTTTGTATAGGCGGGCATGATAATAGCGTTATCAGCTATTGTCCAACAACAACAACAAAAAAAAAGAAAAGGGAAAAAGAGACTCTAAAAGCAAAGGTATTAATTAGGTAAAGTTTTGCCATTTCTGTGATTCTATATGAAATCAATAAGATGGTAGTAACTGTACTGTCGAGCGCTAGGGAAGCATTTCTTCATCAATTTAGACTAAGACTGAGGATTATGCATGTGCGGGGTGTGCGAATAAATGAAGATACTGGATATTCTGAAAAATAACAATAATAACGACAACATCAACAGTGATTACAGAATGAAAAATAAACTGTTTTCATATTTGAAATTCATTCCTGCATGGATCTCACTGTGGTTTTTTGTTTCACGGAAAAATTTCAATGAGGGAGATCTGTTTTACTTCCTATACAGACAGCTTTGCCAGTTGTTTTTGATAGGCTTAGCATAAAGTTGTAATTTTCCCAAGAGAGAAAGGGAAATGTAGAGGACCTATGTTGGTGAATCCGTTTTATGATGGATGCTATTCGCTAACGAGTGATATTTGCATTCACCATTTCGTTTTTGCTATGTGTGATAATCAGAATTAACGGGAGGAATGCAACATTAAAACTAATTGTTCCGCTTTGTGATTCTGTGCTGGCAGTTTTTGTTGGTTAATTTGTTTACAAATTCTTTATTACCTGTTTGCTGTCATTTTTTACTGCAATCCAATGATATGGTACTTATTAAGACTATTCGAAATTCGACAATGGATTTCATGGTTTACTTTTCAACTCACTGGTTCAAAAATATCACAAATTTCTTAAATTGAAAATTAAATGTTCCAAATCTTTTGTACTTAGTTTTTCTTATTTAAGCCTCCAAATGCTTCCTCTCACTCTCTGATGTCGACATGGATTGAAATTCCAATCAAAGGCTGGCCAGTACTTTGCTATTTTAACTGGTGTAGCAAAGTTCGATTCTCCAAGAAGTTCAACCTAAAGGCCTTACCTATGTACGGGAATATCTGAATTATGTTGAAGTAGATCAAGCGTGATATCATCAAATATCATTAAACGTGATAAACACTATTACATGGAAGCGAAGGGAAGGAAACAAATTTGACGGTATGCATCACAATTTACAGCATTCTTGCTTCCCTATTAGAGGTGAAGTATACTAATGACTCCTCGAGAAACTGAATGCTGACAGACATTTGCGTTGCTCATAATACACAACCATCTCCTGTCCACTCTCGTCCACCACTTTTTGTCCACATGTCATCATCGATTAGTACAATCATATCTCGTCTGCAGTATATGAAATTAAGGGGTGGGCAGGAGGGCTTCTGAGGGTCAAGAGTATTGTTCATTTATGGTGTAACGCTGCTGATCGCTGCCAAGGGACCACCAATGGTCCACTCTGTTAGTATTACTAACTCCCAAGAGAGTAGATAATAGGAACGCCAATGGATAGCAATAAGTACCCACTCGTGTATCCTATGTTGAATTCAATATATATTCGGGAGAGTTGACAAGGAAGAGGGTGTAGGGTGGGAGAGGGCATGAGGATCAGGACGGGACGGACCATCGGTGTGTCGACTCAAAGGGCTCTACGCCAGGCGCTTCTGCCGCCTCCTTTAGCGCTACTAACAAGAGGTAGCAGCAGTCTCAACTCAACGCACTCCTCCTCTTGCCTGTTCTCGGACATCTCGATCCTCATTCTCCCTCAGCTATAATCGCTCATGCGGTAAGTTGCTTATGTTAGCAGCAGGGCAGAGCTATGGTCACTTCACTCTCACCAAATCACTAAATGCTTTCTTGCCTTTTCCGTTCTTCATTTCGTCTCTACTTATTGGAATTCTGCTGTCTTTAACTGAAAGTTTCCTTTTCAAACATATAGGCAGAACATCACGCGCAGTTTGCTGCTTTGCAATTGCAAATTCCCAAATACTTACTTTTTCCTTTTTGCTATCTGTTCATATTATTTTGCAACTTTTACTGCATGCTCAGCAATCACTCAACACATACCCTTTACATCTTTCTTCTTCTGACTGCATTGATACTTATTGTTGTTTCATTTTTTAGTTGTAAAAATCATTCATTCCTTTATTAAATTTTCACAGATCCCAATAAATAATTGACTATTATCTTTTTTCTGATTTACATTAACCACCAAATTAATCCAATTTCAAAATTCACTGAAATGATTAAATGCTTTTTTGAAACATTTACTGTGCCCAAAAAAAGGAAACGGTCGTGAAATGCTTCTTTTGTACTTTACTTTTTAGAGTCTATTAACATTATTGATGTTGAAATGATCAGCTAACATGACATCATATATTCACCATTACTTGCTTCTCCTTTCATCCCCTTTTCTGCAAAATCATTTCCAATATTTATTCGTCGATTGTTAAATGATTGTTTGCGTTGAGTACATCAGCAAATTTTCAGATTATTGTTCCAATGGTTTAATTAAAAAATGATGACTTACTATGATTTGTTGAAACGGTTTAATTTAAGCTACTTATCAAACACAACTGATTTCAAGTGTTAACGCATGTTGAATACGTTATCCATTAATCGCTTCCGGAAATTATGCTACGCGAGATGGAATCAGTAATATACCTACTGCAGTTACTTTCCGGTATCACAATCGAGTGAAAGAAAGTGACGGGATTTCGTGATGACCAGCAAAAATTGATTGAAATCGTTATCAGCTAAAAGCATTATATTGCACCATCTGTTTTCACATACACTTACAATGCCGTGTTCATTTCGAGCTCGTGTAAACCAACTTTGGTCTATATGGTACACTGTAGTAATGGTACTTCTACAGACTTACTTAATTTATCTTGGTTTCGAACGTTACCGCTTATATTCGGAAATGAAATGGCCTCATGGTGCATATCCAAGTTTGTGGTTAAGTGTTTATGTTATACTGTATTCTTTATGTATACCTTGTTTACTACTGTTTATGGCATTTGGAATATTCAAATCTGGCAACGTTGCTGGTGATAACGATCGACTTGGTGCTCGAATCGATCGTGTCATTGAAATTACTCGGAGTTCACATGGATATAGAAAAGGTAATTATGCCATGAATAACGAATTTTTGCAAATTTGATTCCAAGAGCAGGCAAACTTGAAGAGTGTGTGAAATGGTGCTGCAAATGCGCATTTTCAGCATGGTAGGTGCAACTGAAAATAACTTGAATAATGATTAACTAATATTGTTTGGAAATAATTTACTGTATTACAGGAAGTTGCTCACTTTTGCGATGCATCAAGTCACTGTGGCAGCATGCACCACCGTTACCACAGCTTATTCATCTACTGATGGCGCTTTTTCAATTATTTGCCCAGCAAGTGATGTTATCACAACTTTATCGATACGGCTTCATTAATTCCGGTAAAATTATTAGTGCCTTTTAATCTTGAAATCTGGATTCATTTTTTCTTGTAACATGTACAAACATACATAGCCCATGTTTTTTTAGTCCAAATTATTCGACATTTAAACATTAAATTTAGAAATTTGATCTAGGAACTAGTTTTGAAATGGTTTTTTCTAGAAATAAGAAGATTGCATGGATGAGCTAAGCATTCATATTGTAAAAGAAATATACTGGCAAGGCTCAGGAATACTGGGCTAGTTTCAAGTCAGAAGGTAAATGAATTCATAGGGAAGCTAGGAGCGATGGATGTGTTTTATGAGTACTCAAATGTCAAACATTTTGCAAAAAATCTGTAGGAGACAGTCGATGCGACAAGCACAGTGGGTTCTCCGTTTTTTAAATGCTATAATGTAAGATGAAGGACGTGATTATTTGCTCATTTCCTGACGATATTAGGATGCAAGCGTTACCTGAAATGATGGCGAAAACACCGTGAGGGAAGATATCTAAGTAGGAAGCCATAACTGACTTGCTTACATTGAATTCGATGGCAAGAAATTCAGAAAGGATGAATCATTAAACGGTGGTAACATCATGATATCATAATATATCAGATGCACACCTGAATAATCTATTTTGAATACTATCGTGTGAAGGACTATCGCGAAAAGTTAGATTTCATGGGCGAAAATTTTGCTTGAGAAAATTGCTCTGAAATTATATTGAAAGATAGTTTCTTTGTTCGAATTTGAACCGACTTGCAATGGAGTGAGAAAGGTGCAGAGTAAATGAATGAAGTTATCAAGGATCTGTAATTGTCCGATATCGGTTAAGTGCTAAAGAATATCGAAAAGCATTGCAGTCGTAAAATCAATTGCACTTGTACGAAATGGCTTCTAAAATATGTCCGAGAGGTTGGAGAGTTCCGGAAGAGTATATTGTGATCACTACAAAAAATGACGGATTGTAAGATCGAGTTTGTGTTATCTGATTGCACATAAGTACTACTTCAAAACAAAGTTTTTTTAACCTCATAACTGATTTTATCTTTGTAACTTCTCTTTATCCTTTTATTTCTGTGTGTATATATATATATATGTGTGTGTGTGTGTTTGTGTGTATGTGTGTGTGTATGTGTGTGTGTGTGTGTGTGTGTGTGTGTGTGTGTGTGTGGTGGTGGTG